AAAAACCTTTAAATCTCTTCTCTAGATTGTAATTAATCTAGGAACAAAATTGAATTCTACGAATTAACTGCAATGACTCAAACCATCTGACTTTGCAATGTTCAAAAAAGCATTATAGGAAGAAACTGCAACATCAGTATAAATGAAGGATTGGACATGTAAGCCAAACTAACCATAAAACAGGTTCCGAACAGAATACATATAGAACCCACCACAAATTGCTTATCTAAATAAAAATATCCAAAATTTGGAAACACAGGATACGCCTATTATTAAACTACTACTCAATCTTCCTCATCAATGACCTTAGTGCCCAACCCCTTTAATCCCTCTGGAGGGATCTCAGCCACGGTCACCAGTGAGTAGAACTCCTCCTTAGCATCCTCCTCATCATTTCTCTTCCGTGCAACGCGAACCCGGATTCTCCTTGGTACACTCCGTATACCACGGCTCCATACATGCTTGTTCAGCTTCACATCAACCCTGACATCAGTTGTTCCCATGGCCTTTTGGGCAAACTTCCTGATTTCCTTTATGGCCTTTGGAGCCTTCTTCTTAAATGTACTGCATATAGATTGGAACAAGGGTGTTGAAAATCTCTCGAAAAGGATTTGGTAAAATCTAACTAGCAGAGCATCTTCTGAGGCTAAACAAAACACACACACTCTGGTAAATGTGCACATTAAACTTAAGGCATTCCCCATCCTAAAAATAAGATGCAATTATGCAGCAAAACAAACATCAATTCCAGAGGGTTTCAGATAAGCACTGGGGAATAAGATTCTCGATAAAGGGACAATATAGAACCAATACAGTAACAGCATAGCTCTAAATAAGTTCTTTGCATTTACATAAAATGCGACGAACAACCATTAACATCTCCAGAACACCATAAAAAGAATAGATACATATATGTGTAAACCCAAAAACATGTTTCCAACAAACAGCAACAAGGAATATGACATCTGAATTCAAATATGACACATTAGAACATCCAGTTCTTCATATCTATATCCCCTAAATATACAGAAATCCATGAAACACTTTGAAGCCAATGGGTAAATAAATAGGAGAAGAAGCGTTATATGTTGAAGAAGAAGAAGAAGGAGGTACCATCCATGGAGACGTTTGTGGAGGTTGATGGTGTACTCTCTGGTGACGACCTCCTCTTTTCTGCCTTTTCCCGTCTTCTCGACCATGTTTCGCGGCGGCTGAGATCTCTGCCTCCAACCAATTTCTACTTCTTTGCTTCTACTGCGGCTGCCCAAGAAACCCTAAAACCTGTACAGAACATATATATAAACTAGGCTTCTGGGAATTACTTTTATACCCTCAGAGACAAGGTTGAATTCGTAATTTTAATTCATCAGTTGGGCTTGGACAGACGGAGGGAAGCAGAAATGGGCCTCAAGTCAAGCCCAACCAAAGAAAAGTCGTCGTTTCGTTAGGAGCGGAACATTTAGGTTAGGGCACTCTTTCTGCTTCTTCGACAGTCAGTCGACGGTAGTACCGCTGCTGCTTCTTCACTGCCAAAGTTGGTATTCTCTCGAATTCTTTTTTTTTTTTCAATCTTATAGCTTTATTATTCATTAATTGATCAATCTATCTAAGTTTGAGGTTGTGCTTTGTGCCAATTTTTTAGGGTTGCTGTTTGATTTCGAGAGTTTGTATTCGATTAATTCAAGGCTGTAGAAGCTGATACCATGGTAATCTTCAGTCTCTGTCTCTTATCTTATAGTCAATATATATATATATAGTAATTGGGATTGTGTTGTTTAATTGGGATTGTTTTGTGGATGATTCTGTATTCAGTCAGGCAGGAAAGAAACGGTCTTGGATTTGGCAAAGTTTGTGGACAAGGGTGTTCAGGTCAAGCTTACTGGTGGTAGACAAGGTTATTCATCCATTTTCCATTTCTTTTTTTTTTTTCTTTTTTTTTTGGTCTTGCATTTTAATTATTGTTATTATTATATGATTTTTATTAAAACCCCCTTGTCAATAACCAATTTCAGAAACCAAAAAATGTGGAAATTTTAGTCTTTTTATGAGTCTCTTTTCTTAATTATCCATCACCAAGCTGCCCAATTGGGATTTATTTTGTATACCTTTTATAGCTGAATGTAAATATGTAACACCCAGATGTTCGATTTCTATTCTGTTATAGCTTGTTTAGATTGAGGGAAATGGATGGGAGGGAAAATTTTTTATCCAATTAAATTAAGATGTTGGATTAAAATCATAATTTGATTGGACAAGAAATTTTAACTCCCCTCCCCTTTGTTTCCCTCAAACCAAACAAGCTATTACTGTTAGGCATGGAGTTTGTGTCCCACATAAATGAAAATTACTATCAATTATTTAATAATTTAATGAAAATTCTTGTAGCAGCTTCTGAATGTGGTGATCTTTTTCTCTTTTGTTTACAGTGACGGGAACCCTAAAGGGATATGATCAGTTGCTGAATCTTGTTCTGGATGAAGCTGTAGAATTTCTAAGAGGTAATCATGAAAGTCGCATCTTTATAAAATTATAATGCTTTTAAACATGCCAATGTGTGGTTCTGCTGGATGTATGTATAAGTTGCCAATCCTTTGTTTATTGATGACTGTTTGATGTTAGATTTAGATAACCTTTCATAATGAAGCTCTACTTAGCTGGCAATGATGTTATTTATTTCTTCTAAGCATCTATTCCATGGTAGAGTTTATGCTCTGTGGTTCTGGGGCCATAACTTGCCGTGACAGTGATGCATGCATTATTAGGCCTTTGCCTGCAACCTGGCTGGTTTATCTTCTGAAAACGGAACCTACATGTTTTCAGAGAGCCTTTGTCTGGGGTCCTGAGGTATTGAATTCTACTTTCTTGTGTATCACATGGAAGACCCTATATGTTAGACATCTTGTCAGGTCAAAAATAACTCTTGCCAATTCTCAACTGACTGATTTTTTGTGGTATCATATGATCATCATAATTATTTTTATTTTTGTGCTTGTTATTCCATTGTCAAGTGTCCCTTCTAAATAGGGATGCAGGTAAATCCATTCTAAATATTTTTGCATTATGCTGCAGATCCAGATGACCCATTGAAGACTACTGATCAGACCAGGCGTCTCGGCCTGATAGTATGTCCTTTCTCCTCCCTTTGCTCCTCTCTCTTTTTGAGTATATGTTTTGAGCTGTCATGGTACCATTATCAAGCTATCAATGCCTTGGAAAGCATCTTTAGTAATTTACCTAATGAAAGCATCTTTAGTAATTTACCTAATGAAAGCATCAGTTCTTGAAATGATGTGTCTTAATCCTGGATTTGGCTTGGTCTGGAAGCATTCCTGTTCTGATACCTTAATTAGTGACTATGGATAGCATGTGATCAGGGAGTAATTAAAATGGAATGTTTCTCAGAAAATGACAGATTATTTCCTATTTCTGGCTGGACAACAAATACATACACACTTGCATGTATATTCTTTACTCTTATTAAGAGTTGAACATGTGATTCTGCTGCAGGTTTGTAGGGGAACTGCTGTTATGCTTGTTTCGCCAACTGATGGTACAGATGAGATTGCCAACCCTTTCATCCAACCAGAAGGAGCCTAGATGATTCTTCCATAATGTTTTCTGTTCAATGACTGCTATCTTAAGCCGGAGTGCAAAATTTTACGTGTTGGCCCGGCATTTATTTATGTCTGAAAACTACCTTGTTGCGTATGAAATGCAAACTTTGGATCTTGAAACTTGAATCATCGTCCATGTAGTGAAATGTGACAGACAGTGACTCCTTTTGTTTGTTTCGTTTCAATAGAATGCTTGTTTTATATGTGATTCAATGCACATGGGTTATTTATTCTTCTTATTGAGTAGGGTGGTACTCTTGGAAGTAATTTTTTTATATAATTTTTATATGTCATGAAATGAATAAATGTATTTAATATTATGAGTTTTATATAAATTAAAAGATCAAATCATTTAAATAACACAAAATATATAAAAATCATTTCCTTATTAAGTATTAACAACAAATGATAATAACTGTAGTTGATATGAATATAATTCCAGATATTAATTGCCTTTTCATTTTTCTAGGTTAAGTTTTTTTTTTTTTTAAGTAGGTGTATTATCTTTCTCAATATTACCTTTATTAGAATAACATACTTTTGAAGATTTTTTTATCTAAATTTTACAACCTTTGTTGACAAATATTTTTACCTATCTTTTATTAAAATAATATAATTATGAAGTGTTTTTATCTAATAGTTCATTTCGTTTGAAAGGAACGTAAAGGAATTTTTTTACCAATCCAATCCTTGTCTTAATTTTTCTTAAATTAAATATACTAAAATTATTTTTATTTAAGTTTTCTATTAATAAGTCTGGAACTTGATTATTATTTAACATAATAAAATCTCCAACCTGACCAGGTGCATTTTTTAAGCAAAATAATTAATGTTTTCTTTCCTGTTGATAAAAAAAAGTTTTTTCTTGTAAATTATAATTTAAATCATTAAACCTAATATTATGAGTTATAACCTAAACCAGTGTTTCTTAAACTTCTTATTGTGACAAATTC